CGATCACTGTAGGCGCGGAGCCTGAACGTGGTTCTTCTGAGCGCATAAGGCCGGCTTTCGTAACCTAATGGCGGCCGCTTCCGCTGTTGCTAACAGGCGCTGGCCTAATAGCTTAGGGTAGCTCGATTGGACCTTATAAATCCCGAGAAAAGCTTCGTTGGGGCTTCGTAGGGGCTTGAGCCCCTACAGCGTCAGCTAGCACCACGGAGCTACCGAGATACCTTTACATTCATTGACGACATCAAAGACCTTAGCATCGACGGTATGGTGATGTTCTCGCTAGACGTCTCATCACTTTTTACTAAAGTTCCGGTCTCCGAGACAGTTGATTACGGATGGAAGCGAATATGCGAATCCCAGGTTCTTGTTGTAAAGAAGATGAAGAAGTCTTCATCTTCTTTACAACAGTTGATTACATCTGTGATTTTCTATCTGCCAGTCAGCAGGAAATAGGAATTCCGACGAAGACGCTCAAGGAAGTATTACTAAGATGCACATTAAATGTGCAGTTCCTGTTCGACAACCAAGTGTATAGACAAGTAGACGGCGTTGCTGTGGGTTCACCCCTTGGACCTCTCCTAGCAGATGTCTTAATGGGCAAATTAGAGAGATTCCAAATGAGCGATTAGATCGATAAGCTTAAACATTACGGTCGCTATGTTGATGATATCTTTGCAATTGCCACTGCAGAAACCGATGTGGCTACCCTCTTAGATGCGGCAAATCAGGCACATCCGTCGATCAAATTCACGCTGGAGATTGAAACGGTCGGTTCGCTCCCTTTCTTAGATGTTCTTTTAAGCAGGAGACCTGACGGGAGTGTCCGAAGAAACGTCTATCGGAAGAAAACCAGGTCTGGACAATACACGAACTTTGCCAGTTTCGTACTCCTCCAACAAAACGAAATCTAGTCCGATGTTTGGCACAAAGAGCTAGAAAAATTTGCTCAACAGACAGCATCGAGGAGGAGATCAGAATAATCCAGGACTTCCTTCGAGAAAACGGGTATCCCGACAGGTTCATTGCAAAGAACATTGCCGAAAGACCGGTCAAACCCGCCACATCGACTGCTGAAAAGAAAACTGTCTTCCTCAAAGTCCCTTTCCAAGGGGACGCGACGAGTGAACTCCTAAGGAGACGCCTTGATCAAGCTGTCCCGCGAACCTTCCCAACAGCAAGGGTTCAAATATCATCCTCTACTAACCCTATTTTAAGCGGGGAAGGTAAGGATAAGTTGCCACCGCAGACCACCTCAGTGTGCATATATTCCTTCACTTGCTCCTGTGGAGCAGGTTATATTGGTCGCACGAGTCGGCGCTTATCCAAGAGAATACGCGAACACCTCCCGGCGTGACTGGGAAAAGGCGAAACGAGGAGTATAAGCAGCGCCATTCTCGCGCATGTGGTCGATTCCGGACATCGTGTGGACCCCAACGAAGCCTTTCGCGTGATTTATAAGGTCCAATCGAGCTACCCTAAGCTATTAGGCCAGCGCCTGTTAGCAACAGCGGAAGCGGCCGCCATTAGGTTACGAAAGCCGGCCTTATGCGCTCAGAAGAACCACGTTCAGGCTCCGCGCCTACAGTGATCG